CTGTAGCATACAATCATAGAACACAACAGCTGCATCAGCGAACATGAACTGCAGCTCCAGCTCTTTCAACATCCGATATCGCAGGAAAAAGACGCATTACACAACGTTTACAATATCAAAGGAACTTAATAAAATGACAGCCTACCCGTAGCATACAATCAGAGAACACTGAATATAAAATACATTTTGAAATGCTCCAGATTTCTGAGGTCCCAAGGTTGGCAAGTATGCTCATGGACCGACCACACCCACCTCTTCTTTTGAAAAACTGGGTGACATACTTTCGCCCTTTAGTCCCTCTCTCTTGTCTTTCTCTTCTTTCTTGAAAGCCTGACTTTGTTAGTCGTTGAGACATGGTACACACGTAAGTACTAGCATCCCTCCTCACATGCTCTCACTCTCTGCTGCTAGAAAGTGCTGGCGGTGGTGCACTGGATGTACAGAGGCTTTGGATAATTAACTTTTGGAAGAAAATAAGTTAAATGAATCGTAAGTTTAGTGAGTACATTATCAATATAACGTTCTATTAATGTTAATTATTGATGAATGATGAAAGGTTACTTAAACATTTTTTTCTTAATGTTCTAAAATTGTTTTGGCCCCTGTCAGTCACGGGTCCTTATATATATACAACTCAAAATGTGTCTTCGGGTCAATGCGACTGATTTCGATAGAGCAAGTCACATATGAGGTGGTCCCCGAAAATCCTTGATAATAAAAAGTGGATTTTATTTAGATTTTGGATTTTTCCACGGACCACCTGCAGTACCACACCTGTCAGCTGTGTTTACTCTTGTCATTCAAACAGGACGCGCTGGAGAGGGGGTGGGGCTTATCTCCATGTAAATGCTGTGGTAAAAACCAACTACAACAAAATGAACAACACCGTAATTTAATTGTAATACACGTTTCAAAATGATGCCGAAGTAACTAAATACTGATAACGGTTAGTAAAAACCATGAATTAATGCTTTGACAAGTCTGCAGACAGACAGCAGGAGAAAAACCTTTCAAAATGCGTGTTTTCTGAATGGAGATCGGATCGATCAGGCTAAACTAACCTTGTAGCTGCTCCGTCCAAACTCACAACATGATACAGACACAGATACAACAGCGACTGTATTCGCCATGACACAGACAGTCTGTGTTTTGTACATGTTTAACTTTTGTCCAGTTTCTGAACAGATATGAGGAGCTGTGAGCTCTGAGTGCTAACTACTGATGTTTTCTGATTCAACGTCAGTGACAGCAGGCTGAGATCCTCACCGCTGATTGGCTACCACGAGAACGCGTCACGCAAATTTGATTTGACCCTCGAGTTGAAAAAATTGACTCTTGTACACACACACACACACACGTTTGCATTTCAAAGTATTGCTTGTTCGTACAGTTCAATGTTTGAGCTTCACTGTGCACTGCTGAATGATTTATGTGCAGAGTTTGACCCTTGAAGGCTGTTTCTTCTGCTCTGAAATTGAATATATGTGTTACATATTAATAATAATAATAAAAATGTTGATTTGATTTTGGATTTCTGAATGGGAGAAGTAGTAGATAAAAAACATACCAAACACTAATTATTCAAAGTAGAGTATTTTATTTTGTATACACAGTAATACTCTAAAAGGAGGCATAGGACTATATGATGATATGTTTGACATTAAAAAGTCTCCAAGCTCCAAATCCTAATTCTTCCCTCAATGGCCTTTGTGCCCTGTCTTGTGGTCTTTATTCCCTAAAAAAAATTGTGACACCAAAGGCCAAATGGCCGTGCCCCTAAAATGACGAAATTCCAAGCCTGGATGTAACTAGACCCACGTTACTAGCAGAGGGAGCGGGAGCGAGAGCACTGCCTTCACCTAGCTGGATTAAATAAAGAAGCTTAACGGGACAGTTTAGCCAGGCGGCTGCTGCTAAGAATCAAGCAGCACGTCTACCAGGAGCGGGGGCGAAAAACACTGCCTTCACTGGATGAGTTAAATAACGAAGCTCAACAGAACACGCCAGATGTTAGCCAAGCGGCCGCTGCTAACAATCAGGGCAATACGTTACAGGGAGCGGGAGCGAGAGCACTGCCTTCACCAGCCGAGTTTAAATAAAGAAGCTTTAACAAAACATGCAAGATGTTAGCCAAGCAGCAGCTGCTGCTAACAATCAAAACAATACGTTTACCGGGAGCGGGAGCGGGAGCGCTCCCTTCACCAGCTGAGTTAAATAATGAAGCTTAACAGTACAAGCAAGATGTTAGCCAAGTGGCTGCTGCTAACAATCAAGCGAGATCAAGTCAAATAACCCAAATGTTTAAGACCAGATAACTAGCTTCTAAAGAAGAGAACAGCACAGAGCCGTAGTTACAGCAGTAACCATGGCCAGTGCTAAAGGGCCCAAATATCATTGTTTCGTTTAGTTTCTTTCTCCCAAGCAGTGGTGGCTTTAGACTTTTTCATTTGTCAGTCATTTTGACGGACAGGATTGTAACATTTCCGTCATAATCCATTATTACCCGTCGAGTGCACAATTTATCACCCACTCGCGCTGACGGGGGTGTATTCGGTTAGCGCGAGTGCGACCACTCCTCCAAAGCCCTGTTGTTGCCATTTTATTTTCTGTTAAATAAGGTTAGTTAGACCATGAGTTAGACCATGAGTTAGACCATGAGTTATACCATGAGTTAGACCATGAGTTAGACCATGAGTTAGACCAGGAGTTAGACCAGGAGTTAGACCATGAGTTAGACCATGAGTTAGACCATGAGTTAGACCATGAGTTAGACCATGAGTTAGACCATGAGTTAGACCATGAGTTAGACCAGGAGTTAGACCATGAGTTAGACCATGAGTTAGACCCGAGTCTTCCTTACAGTTCACATTGTGCCGCTGCCCGGTGTAATTCAAATGTACCTCCGCGCGCAGCACAGACACACAGCTGCTGCCCAGCCGCAGCACCGGAAATGGAACTGCTGGGAGAAAAACTGACTATCAGAGATGTAACGTTATCTTTGATAATATTTCGTCTCCTCATTTTTCGTCAACGAAAGTAAAGAGAGATTTTGGCATAGTTTTTATTTAGTAAACTACATTTTCGTCTCGTCACTTTTCGTCAACGATATTGCATGATGATTTTGTTGCAGTTATTGTTTACTGCCGTCGGTGCCGTCTCGTCATTGTCTCGTTTTCGTCATGGAAAAAAAGGTCGTTGACGAACATATTTCGTCATAGTTTTAGTCAACGAAATGAACACTACCCTAAACTCAACTGGGACTCTTCACAATATGTTGGACAACACTTGACAGTGATGTTGTTAAAGATTACCTGGAGCGGTGGTAAATAATAGGGTCATTCTCATCGGGAACAGTGTTGAGCATTCCCAGCTCACGGAACATGTTCATCATAACGTCAAGGAAGTGCTTTCCAGCAGCGCGCTCCATAGCAGCACTAAGCAGGGTGAAGGCATGGGTGGAGTACAGGAAAGTGGTGCCTGTGCATAACAAACAAATTAAGTTAATCTTTCCTATGTACAGACATATGGTAAAACCGTAAATCATATTTGAGTTGTTTGAAAAAGAAATATGTGGTGCTTTACCAGGTTTGAAAATGAGTGGGTCATCCTTGAAGAGGTCCAAGGCGTGAGTGACGTCTTCAAAGTTGTCCTTTAAGTAGTATTCCTCGTGTTCAAACTCTTTTTTCTTCTGAGCCTTAGTGGCTTCTTTGCCTTTGTTTTCTTGTTCAGTTGCAGGTTTATCATTGTTTTCTGATGTGCTCTTCTCATCCTCTTTCTTTTCTGCCTTCAACAGACGCTTTGCTTTCTCCCTGTCCTCCCTCACTTTCTTAGCATCCTTCTCATAATGCCGGATACCACTCAGGTGGGACAGAATCATTCGAGGGGTTATTGTGACCTAAAATAAATGATGTGCATGTGAGCTGAATAGCACAATATTATTCAGGATAACAACAAAATCTGACATATTTTTCACTTAACTTACATCCTCTCCATCAAATTGTTTCTGGGGGAATTCTGGGACATATTTCTGGACAGGGACATCAAGCTCCAGTTTCCCCTCCTCACAGAGCCGTGCAGCTGCTGCAGAGGTGAGGGGTTTACTGATGCTGGCGATTCGCATCACTGTTCCTGGGCCGCATGGCACACGATTCTCCAAATCAGAATAACCGATCCCTGAATTACGTTAGGAATTTAAATTCAATGTCATTGTGTTTTCAGATAAAGTTGTTGAAGATTCAACTTGGTGCAATTTTAAACCGTTTGATGTATAAAAAAAACACTAATACTTAATTTTGAGACATTTCATTTGAAATTATTCTTCTGGCTTGAGCTAAAACAGAATGCCACCTAAGTTGAGAACAGGAGATCATTCATTGCGTTCCAAGGCAAACAGAGCTAAGGCTTAAAGGTTTTTGTTTTTCAGTAATTGATTTGTCTCTCATATTTTTACTTGTTCGGGATAACGTTGATCGATCTTCTATATAAACATTTGAATAAAAATGAAGCATTTTTATTTTGAAAAAGGTTTTGAATAGCTTCCATGTTCTTGATAAAGAGTCTCCAAATTCATATCACAACTAGCTTCCATGCCATGTGACTCATTTACAACAGCATTGTAGTACTACATTGGATATGTAGGACACACCTCTCTTTATTGGATTCAGTCCAACTTTTATTTTAGATGATACAAATATATATAATTAAGTGGAAGCACTAAAATCCAATAAAAAGAGGTGTGTCCTACTTGTCCAGTGTGGCACGACAATGCTCTATTCATTGATTTGCAGTCATTGGGTATTTTCACATGAAATCTATTGAAAATAAATCAAATGTTTTAATAAAGAAATGACTGAATTGTCATAATAATGTTTATATAAAATAGAAATACACAAAAATCCAATAAAAAGGGTGTTTGTATATCAAAGCCATAATATCTGGTGTTTGGGTCAAATGAAATGGTAGTTATTGAAAATAAATAAGATTTACACGACAATGGACAAAAAAAAAGAAAAAAAAAAGAGTTGTGTCCTACTCATCCAGTGAAATAAAAATAATTACTTTTTAATAATGTTATTCATGAAAAATAGAAGGTGTTACACCTGTCCAGTGTGATTAGACAATTCCTCAGTGATTGGGGATCACTGGTTTACATGACATGGAAGCTATTGGGAATAAATTAGAGTTTTCAATAAAGAAACTGATGAATTTTTCTAAGAATATTCCAATAAAGCAAAAACAGCACCAAAATCCATAAATAGGTGTATCCTATTTGTCCAGTGAGATTGACTAAAATGCTGCTTGATCCGGAGCCACAGCCTGTTTAATTTATAACCTAAAAGCTACTTCACTTAACTTTAAAGTGTCAGGCACCAACCTTCACTCCAGACATGAGCACCATCCACAGAGACCCCCACCACCAGGCCTGGAGCCCCGACCTCATCCTGGGGGACAGACAGACAGAAACACTGAACAGAAGTCGGTGACACAAGAGGTCACATAGGAGGAGAGTGCAAAATAGAGGATAGCAAGCAGCATTGCTGGGAGAAGATCTTGTACTTCAGAAAAAGTAGGATTATTATTATGTTTCAAGTGAAAGTCCTGCATTCAAAATGTTACTCAAGTAAAAGTACAAACATAGTACAATCAAAATATACGTAAAGTACTAATTGGCCCATTTCAGAATAATATATCATGTTTTGACTATAATTATTGATGCATGCAAGTGTTATCAACGCTGGTAAAGGTGCAGTTTTAATGACTTTGTAAAGTTTGTATACTGCAGGGTAGCTTTTGAATTAATTCCAGGTGTAACTACAGTCTTACTTAAGTGTTGATTATATTTCACATCATTAATCCAAATCTGCAAAGTACATGTACTGTAGTGGAGTACAAGTACACTATTTACCTTGAATTGAATTGTAGTGGCACACAAAGCAGCACATTTTGTATTACTCAAGTAAACTGCATGTCTCTCAAAATGTTACTTTAGTACAGTACTTGAGTAAATGTCCATTGGTGTGTTTGCCTACCTCCATGCTTACCTTGATCCGCTCCACCAGGTCCCTGCTAACTTGTATGGCAGCGCTGTATCGATCAGTCCTCTGAGCCTCCTTCACTCTATCATCACAGGAACTGCTGGATGTGTCTGCGTTGTATTTCAACCCGACAGCTATAGCAATCCCCACACCGACCCCACATACCCAAATCCGGGACTTTGACCTGTATTTAAAAAACGCTGGATTTGCCTCTCCGCCATATCGTCTCTGTTGAATAAAAGCACTCAGTTTATCTGACTGATGCTGCTTGTAACGCGCTACGGCTCGCGCCGGAAATGCTTTATACCCACGCACTGTTATTAGGGAACATTTGGCACAAAAACGATTTGGTAAAAAGAGTCGTGACATCGCTGCTTCTTCTGCCTTCTGGTTAACTATCCCTTGTTGTTTTCTTTTTTTTTGCATCTACGATCCAGACCAAACGAATCAAATCACAATTCAGACCAAATCGAGCGAGGGAGGATTAATCGATTCACCCCATAACATAACAAGAATGGACTTGACCATTTTAATTATACTTTTGTAAGTCTGGGAGTGTTCATTTTCACACGATACTGGATTTTAAAATGAAATTCAACTTCTCGTCAAACTCGTTATTGTATGAGTTAGTCAGTGTGGCGCGAATTTGTCAAATGTGGATAGAGCATTCAGCTGTCTTTGTCTTATTTGATTTATTTCAAGAAATCCCAGTCAGTCATATGCCTACAGAGAGCATACAGTCTGCAGAGTGAAAGACGAAGAATATATTATGTTTTGCATATTTAAACACAGAGAGAGAGAGAGAAAGAGAGAGAGAGGAGAAAGGGCGGGGTTGAGCTTGGTGATACTGAAAGGAGCATTCTGGAAGTTAGGGAGGCCATATCAGGAATAGACTGAAACTAACAACATAGCAACACATCTTCTTAACAAGGAATTTCCCCAAGATTAGCTAAGAAGTGTGAGAAGTAGGCTAATATATGGATAAACATTAGCAAATACGAATCACACAATGATATTATTAAAGTGAGTAGCCTATAATATTTTTCTATTATAGTCAGTTATATTTTCCTATATTAGTTTAAATAGAATAGTTAGTTGGTTTTTAGTAAGTTGGTTGCAGAAATCTAAAATGACAAAGGTGTGTCTTAATTGTAATATTACATTTGAGGTGCTGGGTCCCAAAACGTGGAAATGATTGAAAAAATATCGTGAATTTTTCATAAATATTTAGAAAAATAATAGACCAGGCATTACAATGTAAACCAGTGACATTTTCTAACCAAATGTATCACTATTAAGAAAACACAGAATACACCTCTTTACTATGAACAACAAAGACCTTTCAGGGACAATAAAGCTACATTTATTTACATGATTGTATTGTCTTTTTTTCAATAAATTCCACGTCGTTTTACCCAGTGACTCAAATTTAATACAAAAATGTTTCACTTTATTTGAAACGGAAGACTTAATACAAAACCCTTCCACCCCCCCTCTCTATGATTTTACTATTTTTACTCAACCAAAGGCAGTTATTTTCAACATTGCTACTGGACATGGTTTGGTTTGGTTATTCTTAAACTGAAGTGATATTGCCCAGTGATGCTTAGTGAGCTCCACGACCATGTTTTTCCCCAGCTGGAAGTCAAACTGAAAGGCCAGGCAAAAAGGGAGCCAGGCGTAATGCAATCAGGCTGCAAAATGAACAGATCTACATTTGCTCAGAACATTTAACGCATTCGACACCTCTTTGGGGAAAGATGAAGTCTCCTGAATACATTGCCTTTTCCTCTGCATGGATCAGGTGTTATCAATCACCCCAAAAATGTATAAAGGCCTTATATTTCGGTCATCACTATGATGGACAACACTATATATGCATCACAAACAAAGTTAGAAAACATTCGGTCATCACTATGATTGACAACACTATGTATACATCACAAACAAAGTTAGAAAACATTCGGTCATCACTATGATTGACAACAACACTATGTATACATCACAAACAAAGTTAGAAAACTTTCAGAACGTGCTTTTATTAATTTTTATAATTTGTACATTTCAGATATGATAAACACTTGAGACATCTACACTAATAAAATGCACAACCAGATGACTGAAATCATACTTTAGAGAGAAAATGAAAAAAAATTGAACTATGGTTTAAAGAATAGGAATGTAATGCATTAGCATTTTACGTCACTGCTAAACAATACTATAGCACCAGTATACAAGCTGACAGGTGTAGTCAGTGTATACTTACACTAGTGATACAAGCTTCTTATAGGAAAGCATACATCTTTTAAACATAATTTGTCTTACAGAATTCAAAATGTGCATAATGTTGAGGTTTAACCAAGAGCAAAATCTCTCCACTTTGTCCTTTAGTATGTGCATAATCAAGGTGGAATGGAATGTACCAGATCAGCTTCAATGCAGATGTTAAAAACAATGTTGCACATTTCATTTCACCACTTGTCAAAAAATCTCAAGGTTTGCAAAAGGCGGACACCATTACAAGATTAAAAACGTGTTGCTTGCAAAAACAATCTTGTTTCTCAGTTTAGGCTTCATCAAAGGGAATGGTTAAGCTTTACTTCCCCTGAGCTTCGCATGTTGGTCGAGTTCCGCTGAAGGCAGGACGGTGCAATAGGAAAAGCATCTGGCTGTTTCATCTCCACCATGGCCAAGGTATGAGAAGAGGGGTTTATGGTGAAGCAAGGTGCAAGTACAAAAAGCCAAAACCACAGTGCTTTTGGGGTCAGACTGTGCTTTCACAAATTATTCAGTTCCATTAGAGTCTGGTCCAGCATCTGGTGCATACCGAGGTTCTCTTCTTTAGCTTGTGACAGTTTCTCTGTTAGAACATTAAAATGAAGAAGTTTTAATCTCACACAACAGGCAAACGTGAGTCAGTTTAAATTAATAATCAAGCTGGCTGCAACATTCAGGTTAAAAAAATGATTAAAACCTACAAGTCACTGACAGAAAGTAAACAAGCTCATACTATGAGGTGCAAGCCACCATGCAAACAGGTTACGATCTTATTAATACACATACGCACAGCAACAATCCATAAAATATGGTTATTGTGTAAGATTATAATACTAGCCTACAGCATTATATATTTGAGTTAATCCCTGATTATCATTTAATTTAAAAACACATTATGACGAACAGTAACACAGACTTCAAGCAGTGCAGGCATTGTACTTGAACAATGCAAACGGAAGAGCTTTGGATCTTGCTCTGGATCAGATTGTCAAACACACGTTAAACACAAAACACATACAACATTCACACAATTTAGTCCTCATTTAAGGCCACACGTAGTTCATTAGTGAGCAGACGGTTTTTCTGAAGATTCTGGTGGAGGCGATCTTTGCAGTCAGAAAGCAAGTTGAAAAACAGAGAGAGGACAGTAAATCAGAGGAGAAGAGGGAAAAAGAAAATGCCTGTTGATACCTACCTTCTCTAGAACAGATCACCAGATACTTTTGGAAATCTTTCTAACACATTGACAGTCTCTGAATAGCCTTTGAATTACTGAATCAAAGTGTTTTTATGCCCTTGTTTTTGAGGGGGGTTTGGCAATCCAGCCCTTTTTTTCCCCTCTGCAGAAGGTAAAGCAAGGTGGGAGAGTGTGAAGAGTGAAAACAGAGGATGAGCAGATTTAACCCAGAAAGGTGAAAGGTGTAAATGGCATCTTAAAAAATGTTGTTCAAAGTAGATGGTATAATAAAGGAACAACAAATTATAAATACTTAGCTCCATTAGCCAATTTGGTCACAACATTCCCTCACAAGTCAGTCGTAATATATGATTAGATACTGCTTATCAACAACAGAGCTGGAGACATTTTTAAGAGTTAAAGGATGTGGCTTAACTACGTCTCCAAACAGAGAACACCAAATCATTGCTCACGTCTGCTTTTGTTCCTGAAGAAATTGGAAGGACTTTAATAAAAAGACTCAATATGTGTTGTTGTATATTTATTTAAATATATGACAGGATACCGCGTTTCATACAAAACCAATGTCTCATGATCACTGATAGCATTTTCATTCAATCCAATTTCCGGCAACAAGTTGAGGCTCAACACATCTAACATACTGTTCTGTCCACTACTGTTGTCCCTTTCCTCTACTTCAATACAATCTCCCTGATAATCCAATAATAATAATAATAATAATAATAATAATAATAATTCCCTACAATTCCCAACACTTTCCAGTCAGCTCCTTGTGTCACAGCGCTTAATGTGGACGAACTTGCATGCATCAGACTGTAATACTAAGAGAGAAGACAACTTGGCTCAGCTTTTGCTCAAGTACCTTTCGTTCTAGCTTTCTGTGCTCAAGGCACCACTGTGATATTCCTTTTATCCACAGAACAATGTTTGAAGAAAATAAAAAGAGCAAGAATTAAGAAAAGCATGGGAAAGCCCAACAAATGGTGTGCTGAGATACAGAAACAGAATGAAAAACATAAACTTAAAATCAAGGCTTCCTGGTTTTATTAGGACCACTTGAAAATAAATAAATAAGAAAAAAAAGAGGACAGAGTAAAGAGATACAGCTTACATAGAAGGAAGGACGTTTATTTTTTTTACACAATGCAGAAAGATTCTAGGATTCTGTACAAGTGATGGGATGCAATAAACTTTGACAGGAGGATGAAAACATGAGGAAGAAAGGAACGCAAAGACAGAAAGGGATGGGGGATAGAGAGATGGCTGGAGAGAGCAGACAGATGCCACTCAGCCGGCAGGAGGCGTCTTTGATGAGGTGTAAAACATTTATCTGTTTGGGAAGAGAAAAGGAACAGTGAACCAGGGGGCTGGAGAGGGAGCTACGGGACTCTGAGATGCACACTACAATATGTGTAGTCATGGCACTACACTACAAATTCACAATTGCAAGACATTGTGAGGCAGCACACACTGACATACACAATCTAGAGGTCAGACCAAGTCCTTCCTCTGATCACATCGAGACTTTTCTGCAAAAGCACAAAGGAGTGGGGGGCTTTGTCCATCTCCCACAGGATGGCCAAATATTCAAAGGACAAGACTCATTTAGCAAGACTGGGGGCTCAACCACAGTGATGCTAAACAGTGACACTCAAAGATCTCACAAACACACAGGAGGCCTTTCTTCTGGACAGAAGTAGACCATGTTAGCAGAAGAGGAAACAGGAAGCACTCAGAGGAGTTAGAGTCATTGAAATGTTTTCGTAAGATAGATGAAAACATTTCAATAAGCAACTTGCATGCATTGCTTGTGTTGTCACCAAATGTTTATAAAACTAAAAAATGCATAGACTGACCAAAACAACAATGCATAACATTCCTTCAGTCCAGTTTACAGCATTTTCACACACCAAAGATACTGACACTAAGGGCATACAGTATCATCACAACCACACTACTAAAGAAGTGTGAGGGGGGAACCACTCGGAGTGAATTGAAATGATTTTAAAATCTGAATTCAATCACAGACACGGGATAGCATAATGTCTGTTTTAAGACAATACGCATTAAGACTATACAAACCATAGCTTCATCACCATTTAAAGTGTAGAAACGGATCCAATGGGTAAATGTACTCATTGTTTTTAGTAAAAGAAAATGTAAGGGAGAAGATAAAAGGCAAGATAGCTGTTGTACAGGGAAGACGGGTGCAGGGAAAGAAAGCAAAAACAAACAGGTGCAGCAAGTTGGAAATTACATGGAAGTCATGTCGTTGAGGGCGTGGTCCAGCTCCTCGCTGATGGCCTTGTACTTCAGTTTCTGGGCATACAACTCATCTATTGGTGGGCCAGGGGTGAAGGGAAAGGGCAAAGGTGAAGGAGCGTATGGCAAGGAGGTGAGGGGTGAAGCATCCAGAAAATTGACAAGAGAGAGAGAGAGAGAGAGGAAGAGGTGACAGAAAACAGAAAACAAAGGAAGAGGAAAACAAAGTTACACCAGAAAAATGATAGAATGGAAATGCAGCAAAAGTATGGGAAAGGATTGCCATGAATAAATGGACCATATATTTCACTCTCTGCCTTCAGGCCTCGCTATGAGTTAACATTTCGGCCTGATCTCAGATAAACATCAAAGCCAATTTCCCTACCATTAAACTAATAAACAAATACCCTACACCTACACTAATAGACAAAAGGATAGGAGTCAGAACAACAAAAGTATGATGCCGTCTTAAAAAGAGCCCTGATGGCATTAAGAGGGAAGCAGAAATAGAGTGAAAGAAAAAGCATAACGTGGGCCTTTTATAGATTTTTTTAAACAAGCACTTAGCTTTTGTAACCCCTACCACCACTGAAATAATAACTGTTTCAAAACAACCAGAGTTGCATTTTCGGAGGAGGGGCGGAAAAATCATACCTTCCAAGTCATCAATGGTCTTCTCAAGCTTGGCTACTGATCTCTCAGCGAACTCAGCACGAGTCTCAGCCTGTGGGACAGAGAAAGATTTATGAGTTAGTCCAACACTCCAAGTGTGATGGAGCACATGTGATCTGCACACATTACCCTGGACTCCCAGATAAGGTCTTGTGAAACTTTACCTCCTTGAGTTTGTCGGTGAGGACCTTGATCTCCTCCTCGTATTTGTCCTCTTTCTGTGAGTACTGTGGGCCAAAAACAATGATAGGAGTCAAACATATGGACATGGAGTCGAACTCTGAATGTCTAAGTGCATTCAGACACATTTAATACGTTCTAACAGATATGGATTATGATATAAAACTGAATTGAATGCTTTCTGCTCCCCAGGATCTTCTGCTCAGGGGTTTGACAGCATGCACTCGGCCAGACGGTCGCACTCACCTTCTCAGCCTGGGCCTCCAGTGACTTCAGGTTGTTGGTCACAGTTTTCAACTCTTCCTCAAGCTCAGAGCATTTGCTGTTGTTTTACGATGAGGGGATAAAGTTGCGAAGGAGAAGAGAGGGGGGTTGGAGGAAAAGGAGGGAAGTAAGGGTGGACAAAACCAGAGGTGGACACAAAACAGGTGGGAAGAAAGAAAGAAAGAAAGAGGGGGAGAGGAAACAAGATAAATAAGAACTACAGGGATTCAACGAGGAGGGATACCCAAGTACCTTAGGGTGCCTTAACACAGCAGGCATATCAGAATAACAATGAGTGTTGTATTTACTCGTGTATCTAAACATCATGCTTCTATTAAATGTTATTCTTGCAGACTCTGCCATGTTAAAGGTTTGAAATATTCTTATATTCCCAAAGCAAAAGAGCATAAAAGAAAGAAAAGAAAAAGCACAGCAAGCAAAGCAGGAGTTCAGTCAGCAGTGGCTGGAAGTGGGAAGCCACTCATCAGAGACATTAGTGTAGGGTTAGTTTTGGTTTGTAGTACCTTAGTGACTGAGGAGTTTAGCGATTTCATGCTTTGTTCCATAAGCCCTAGCTCATCATCCGCTGTCCGAGCCCGTCTGTTAGTGGGCGCGGCGTACGTGTGCAAGTCAAAACCATTCAAGCCATGGAGAGCATGCAAATAATCAGCAAACACAGTGAGAACACAGGACACAAAGTTCAACTGGATACACGTCTGATACTGTGTGTATTAGAGCTTAAAGCTTAAATTGTGGAAATGCCAGTGCACGAGCGAGTGTAAGTGCAGATTAAGTGTGAAAAGGTGAAACGTCTTACCTCTCATTCAGCTCAGCGCGCTCCTCTGTACGTTCCAGGTCTCCCTCAATGATGACCAGCTTACGGGCAACCTATAGGTGCAGCACACAAAGTGTTACAACTCAACCACCATTTGATGACTGGGACACAACTGGGATGGGTTACGGGTTTTTTCTTCTAAGTGAAAATATACCTCTAACAGACAAGAACTAAACATGCCAACACTTTACTTTACTTTAAATGTACCTGATAGAAGAGCATTTTAGGTTGTATTTATGTAGGGTAATTGTCAACAATTATAACCCCTTCTATTAAGATGCATTTTATATTATTACAACTACTTGTGGTGGAGGACCCTCAAGTTAAAATACTACTACAGTTCTGTAAAAAATACTCCATTTCAAGTGTTAACTAATCTCATAATCAATGACGTATTTCCGCTCTAAATTGTATATGTATGTATTGATGTAGAAATATTAAGTAGCCTAAAATGAATATATTCAAGTAAAGCACCTTAAATGTGTTATTAGGTACAGTACTTAGGTAAAAGTACTAAGTTACATTCTATTAATGATTAACAGTTTGTTAAATCATGTTGTCATTCATTATCAGATATACACCAGCCTCTAAATATGGGCACCCACAGGAGTGTGCAGGAACCATATGATTGTTTAAGTTTCAATCCAAAATCACCAATGTTTTCATAATTGGGTAAAAACACTTCCTAATCTAACAATAAAAATAGAATTTAGTGATTAAGATATTATTTAACTCATATCTTGGAAAGTTTCAATAACTGTAATAGAAACAATGATTGCACTAAATGAGCATCAGTGTGTTTTGATGTTGCAGAAGTCTTTTAGGGTGGCCAACAGTGGCAGAAAACTTGCCTCCTCATATTTGCGGTCAGCCTCCTCAGCGATGTGCTTGGCCTCCTTGAGCTGGATCTCCTGCAGCTCCATCTTCTCCTCGTCCTTCATGGCCCTGTTCTCAATGACCTTCATGCCTCTGTGGGAGAGAACAGTCAAGGCATGTTAGGAGTCAGGAGAGGAAACCTGATAGCCTACAGTCTCCCTGAGGAGACGCATGTCTGGTGCACAGTAAAGCTGGTAGGTAAAGCTTTAACAGAACATTCTAAGGCGAATGGCTTATTGTTTTCTGACATGAAAAAGGGGGAAAATATCTTGTTTTTGGGATGTTGGGAAATGACTGCATTATCTTACACAGTTAACATCTAGCTCTGCAGCACAGAGGCTCTGCTTGTACCCCAAACAAAGGGATGGAAACACCCCCCTTTCTCTGCACAACATAGAGAAACAGCAGAGATCAGAGGACTGAGTCTATGCTGGTCATAAGGACCCACCTCTCGCTCTCATCAGCAGCCTTCTCAGCCTCCTCCAGCTTGGTCAGGGCAGTAGCCAGACGCTCCTGAGCACGATCCAACTCTTCCTCCACCAGCTGGATACGCCTGTTAAGTGAAGCGACATCTGCCTCAGCCTAGGGGAAGAAGAAGAGCATGTCAGGAGAGCTCTTGAAAGACGCACTCTTTAACAAACAACCTGGAAATCAGTGCACACATACACGCTGCCTAAAGAATAACAGTGGTGAATTTGAGTTTTTTTCTAAAAGGGTAGGGGTTGTTGAGTTGTTTGTAAGTGTTTCTGTATGACACCTGTTGGGAGGAAAGCCGTCCCAGGAGTCTCACCTTTGCTCCTCATTGTCTTTGCATTATGATAACAATTTTCCCAAGCTGAAAGAAGGTTTAATACCCTGCCTCATTATTACAGGCCCCTGAGAGAACATTAACAAGGCTCAAGTCAAAAGGGAGACAATTAAACTGTCAATGACTGCTCACATGGTGCACATACAGAGGAAACTCCCCCGACTTAGAAACATTTACATTTAATTTAACCGGTCACATGTGCAACATTTGGTTAGATTATCTGGCATCTTTGGAAAAAGTAAACCTGTAGCTACTTCTGCTTAATGCTATCTTTTTCTGGCAGGTAAGAGATTTGCACTGTCCTGCCTGTTTCGCCTGCTGTTCAAAGTGTGCACTGGTAGACCAAAGTGCAACTGAGGTTGTGAAGTAACAAGGAGGAAGTTACTCTTAACCTATAAATACTGAGGCAATGCTTTTAACTGCGTGTACAACTCCTCACTGATTAACATAAATTAGAGAGAGGATCAGACTACTATAAGCCCCTGGACATAGATGTATTTACCCTCAAGATAACAGCAGCAACCTAAACACGGAGGGAAATCACTATTTGGTAGCTGTGTAAACATATTGTCCTTATATGGACACGTCAAAGAGCACAAGCTCACACTGCACACTGGTACCTTAAATCTACAGTTTACTTTGAACTTCCTGTTTTCTGAAAATAGCTCATTCAAATGTTTAACCTGCGGTTGGCGTGCCTGCAGAATAATGCAACCGGAAGTAACTGGAAAGCAGGTTGAATGGGACCGTTAACAGCAAAGTGCAACACAGGAGATGTAAGAAGGGATATAAAGGCAACACTGTGATACTATGTGCCACTGCTGTTCAGCTGCTTTGACCTGGGCATCGGCGGCCTAACGTTACCAATTATAAACGCTTAGCCCGGAGCAGCAGGCTATCCAACCCTTAGTGAGGCTACTCTGGTGGCACTGCATGGAGCCATGTAAAGCTCAGCTGCAGCACTCACTGCTGTGCATCAACAGAAATCCCGCTATCTCACTGCGTAAAATACAAGAAAATACTACGAGAGGAAGATGGGTAATTTAGCGTTTGATTAGCAGCTCCTATCTGGCTGCACGCTTTAAATATGCTTACTTGTCCCTTGGTTTTCCTCTCCACAAGCAACTCCTTCTGTAATCTCTCGGCTTTTTCTTCAGCATTGTCTGCCTGATCTTGCAAATATTTGATCTTTCGTTTCACCGCCTCCAACGATACAATTCCGGCCATTGTTTATTAAAAGAGACTACACTAATAAGCTACAGCACAATTTCCGAGAAATTGTCAAGGAGCGAGATGACGTCCTTGATGGTGCTGCTGAGCTGCGTGAAGCTGCACCGTGCATGAGCTTTCTGGAGACGCACACTGAAATGCATTTGTCCAGGAAGTACTGCTGATTTCAAAATAGTTCTAAAAAAATATCTATTCTCCATTTTTAAGGAAAGCTTTACATAGCTAAATGTTGCTGCATTATCCCATACAAAAATTAAAATGTCATACTTAATTGATGTAAAGTAACAATGCATTTTTAATGACAGGAACACACCCGGTCAATGCATTGATAATCAAGCGGACAGAGCCACAGCGCCCTCTGCGGGTCAGCTGTGAGCATTACACATGGTAGTGCAACACTCCAGGCCATTTATTTATTCTTCACTGAATACATTAATTAAAGGCTACGTTTTAGACTTTGAAAATATCACAGAAAACCCTCCTGGAATATGAAAGAAGAAAAAGCAAGATCATAAAAAACGAAGTAGTAGTTAAACTCCTTTGAGCACTACAGCCATACTTAAACCTCCCTATAGGAATATTTAGGGGGGGGGGACTCCATATATAAAGCCATATGGAATAAAATACAAGATCAAGTGTGACGGACTGAAATCACTACACTGTAAAGTAGTCACGCTCGCCGGAGGAATCCAATTAAAGGATTATTTCAACGGGTTATCCTGGATGCCACAGAACAGATTGATTCCTTGATTGACTTGTACTTATGCAGTCATACTGACTCGGTCGCTCAAGCGATTGTTTAACATGAACAAAAAGTTTACAATGATCTGAACTGTATTTTCTCCTAACCAGGTCACGACATAAAAAATGTCAACATTTAAGTTATTTTCTTTAATATTCTGTGATTTGTACAAAAGTGGAAACTATTTTAGACGTACTATTTATTTAGGTTTTCTGTTGATAAGTTATTGTGTTCTTAAAATGCATACGCTTCCCAGAGCGATTTGATTGGAAACAGTGTTTTCCCCCTGTGGTAAGCAAAGAGCACAGCCGCAGATGTGAGCTCTATCTTGACCATATAAAGCAGTGGGCTATATTTATCCACGCGCCTGCTCTGAGGAAGACGAGACGCACAGGCTCCTTCACTGAAAAACACTTACTCAGCGTAATTACCTTTAAGACTGAAAATCTTGGCCGGAATACAAATTATGATTATACAATAAATGTTATGCCTAGTAAGAATAATTAGCCTATTAGTTAATTGTATTTAAAACAAATAATGAGTTTTTTACTTTAACAGCCATTCTGACTTTCTTTGGGCATACGTGTAAGGGATTGTTCAAGTGATGAGTGAATATCAAGCGAGAGTTCAACAATAATTTAGACATCATATCAAAAGTCCAATTGGTGTTATAGTTTGAGTGGTCACAGATAAGATACTTTATTTCTCGATGGTGTTGAACTGTCGCTTGCCACACTCAGTGCCGAGAAATGAAGGTGTGAAGAAGCGTGGTGCAGAAATGGTGCCATTGTGAACTCCTTTTTACTTACATCTGTGGCTTTCTTCTCAGCCAGCTCAAGTTTTTCCTGAGCGTCTTTAAGAGCCTCGGAGTACTTGTCCAACTCATCCTCAGTTCCCTTCAGTTTCTTCTGCAGAGCTACCAAGTCGTCCTCAAGCTGAGGCGAGTTTCAGTGCAGATAGTTTCAGAGGTGATCAGCGAGGAGGTGCGTGAACGCGCACAGGCGCAGGAGTGCGTACAGAGAGACAGAGAGACAAACACACAGACAGACAGACAGACAGACAGACAGGAGAGGACAGGACAGGGGAAAGAGAGCAGAAAAGTTAGGGAAGCTCATGCACGTCAGGGTCTTATACCTTGGTGGCCACTTCCTCAGCAGTCAGCAGCTTTTCCTCAGCAGTTTGGAACTCCTCAAACACTTTATCTCTTTCGTCCTCAGAAATGCGCAATTTCTTTTCCAACTCTCTTATATCGTCCTCTAACTATACATGCATATAAAAACACAATACAATACAAATAAAATATCAATTAAACATGCAATTATTCAATTCATTATCAAACAATTCTTGAACAAAAATGTCTCAAATGTCTTAATTTTTAAAAAATCGACTATAAACATTCTTTCCATTTAAATCCTCAAAAAGTTTAAAATTAAGTGTTAAAATCCGCAATAATCAAGAAAGATGTTATTATTAAATTGAGATTGTCCATTAAAAGTAATTAATCCGTATTTAGTTGGCGGTCCATTTAAAGGGCAGTAGCTTTACGCTGCTGTATTCATGCTTTTTCTAAGAGTTTTTGAGTTTTCCATATAAGAAAAAAAAAAAAATCAGCCGACCTGTTTGCTTCTGTCCTCCGCCGCCTTCTTATCTCCCTCAGCCTGCTCAGCTCTGTCCAAGGCATTCTCCTTGTCGAGCTTGAGCATCTGCATCTTCTTCTTGATGGCATCCATGGCTGCTTTTTGTTGTTCGGCACCAACAAATCCGAATGAAAATCAAGAAGAGTGGGAGAGTGGCTAGAGCGTCTGTGCCTAACTGAACACTGAGCTGGAGTACAGGCTATGCCTGACTGTGCCCTGTCAAATATGTATGGAGAAGGGAGGGGTGACTGGATTCTTTTGGACATCCACTACTTTTTTGGTGTGGGCGTGTGTGGGTGCCCGGGCGTTTTTGACGGCTCCGCTCTGCGATTCGTTGCGCCCAAACATTTGACTTTTGATACGCCTTTATATGGGGTGTGATGGACAAGCAGGCAGCTCACACTGAAAGGCTTCTTAATGGTAATGCCACAGAAGCCATTAAATCCATGGAGAGATGCAGATGAGGCTCACTGGATGAGCAGTTGATCGGCATTACACTTGTATACAATGTGTTTTACCACTGTGGCAACACATTTAAAAGCAATACATTATCTCTTTATTGAGACTCGTTTTAATTGGTTTAACTTACAGTATTATTGAAATCTGGGACATGTCTACTTTTTATGTAAATTATCTTTCCTGGTTTTATAACAACAGTATTCTCCTGTTAATTTGTGTCTTATTTTGTCCTGTCACAGGCTGGGAGTGGGACCACAGACAGCTGCAATAACAGGCTTTTTTCATCTTGCAGCCACTGTGTGTGAGTGCTTGGCTTGTTAGGTGGGCATGTGTTCCTCTGGGATAGGTTTTAGTAGCTCAAGGCAAGTGTGCTGTTTGAGAGGAGATGCTTTCATTAAGCCCAGGGAGCCCTAGTGGCATTGTTCACAGTCTGGGGGGCTCAAGACAGGGAAGTGTTTACCTGATAATGTAACGGATATCCCTCCCTGTAATCTGTTGATGTGCCCTTGAGTGAGACAGAACAGCGTCCAGCTCCAGCCAGGCGGGATGGGTTTATGGGCATACCTCAATTACAGCAACTCAACCACTAATTGACTTGGCATTTGAGTGCTGTTAATTGCGTTCTAAAGTACCAAGGAAGACAATTTCACTTTATATGCAATACATTTAGTAGAAGTTTTGAATCAGAACGTTTATAAATGTCTTTGTATTTTGTACATTTCTTTATTCTGTTATAATAACGTATCATGTAAAAATGAGTTTTTATCCAATAAAAACAATATATAAATACACCAGGCTAGTGAAACGCTTAGACGCACAACTGCTGTGACTGAGGACAGACCAAGTTTCTTCTGGTCTTCACAAGGAGCCTCAAGGATATTTTTAGGATCGCCTTCACTTACATGCACCTGCCTTCGTCAGTAATATGGATCTCTGACTCTGTGCCAAAAGTCCAAGGTCCAGTGCTATAAGATATGTCCCCTAAAATATACTTGTCTTGCTCAGGCTTTGGTAATTTTTACATATTTTAATTGCTATATAACTGCCAGACTTTAACAATAAAATATGACTAATATAAGGAAGTGTGGTTACTCTTTTATCGCCTATGGGAGAAAAGCATCTTGTAAAAGGGTATATATTTATTTATCATTTTCCTATAATTTAAGACATTGTCCTGGCATCAGCCTTTTCTTTCAATGACAGGTTCAGGTATAGAAAGCGGGCCAGTCTATGTTTTTACAGGTTGGTGTTTGTATAGTTTTGATTGGCAATAAAAAAGTCTGGTCACAGATCAAGCCCATTTCTGCTTTTCTCTTAGTCTTCTCTTACTCTCTCTAAAATATGTTGTCTTAGACATATCGTTTTGTTTACGCTATTGTCATATTGAATATCTTTCTAATATATTCCTTCAAAATGTTCTCAATAGCTGTTGACTTTAAGGCGCTATTTTTAATCTTGATTTGCAATTTGATCTTAATTACCTTACACAGCCTTTTCACTTAATTAACTCAGGGGAGGTCTGAGAGGGAACACTGGATTTGCTGTGGTATTCTGGGAATGAAAATAAGCTCCATTATAATGTTTCCTTTAACATACTGGCACAGTAAAAATAGCCCAGGGCCCAATACGCTTGCTTTGATGAAAGCAGTCACAAATCACTCACTTCTGCCCTGTCGTATTGAAAAGCTACTGCATACTGCGTTACATTGGAAAATTAAAGGCATCGTTTTTCTTTTGACTGCACCAGTAATTAAAACTTCAACGTTTTTAACATGTACGTTTTCTAAAGCTTTCCACCAGAACCCTTAATAATAACAATGTAATAACAGGGAACTTACTTCCATGAAAAAATGTGAACTGTAAACAAATAAATGCTTTCATTTAGGTCCTATTATCTTCAGAAGTCTCTGTTTGTGTTGAAAACAGTGATCGCATGAGCACATTGTAAATGCTAAGATTCTTCTCAATATTAATCCTCAGAGGAACATCATACAGTATACGTCTTGACTTTTACAGACACATTTCCTATTTTCTGCATAGAAATGATGTGTATTCCTGATCTATATATAACTGTTTTAGTTGTATACATGAGGCGACAGCTGAGTGAAACAGGTGCAGTAATGAGCAAATGTTATATTCAAACATGCTATCAATATCTTTATTTTCCTGCTATATGAGATTTTTTATGGCACCCATGATTATAAACAAGATTGTAAAAAAATTAATTATATACTATAGTGAAAAAATGAGTAAGTATAGCTCTTAAGGGGGCAAAAAAGGGGGTGTTAAGGTGTCAAATAGCCTGATTTCACTTGGATATTCAGGGAATGGGCATCTGAGACCTAAGAGACCCTCGACTCTCAGTGTTTAAACTATGTCCCTTTGTGGTCCTAAGGCGGTAGTGCAGGCTGTCCTCCTGCCAATGTATGTGACACAACAGCTTTTCAAAAGCTTTAATATAATACCATGATACATTAGTAGCTAATCTGTTTGGCTAACACTGACAACCCACTATGTATGTGGTATGTCCGGTTCTCCTCTGTCACTGCTCAGGGAGGAGCTTGGCTGTTGTGCCTGAAACCATGTTTGTATACAGTAAGAGGACCCTCGGGAGAGACATTTAAGGTTCTCTCATGGCTGACATGTTAATGCATTATAGAAAGAATGTTGTCTGTTAAGGCTCAGTCACAATTCTTTTCAGGAGCAAAAGTAGCAGATTTTGCAAAGAAAACAAATCTTACTTGCTTTTTACCAAACTTATGTCATTGGGTGGACGGAATATATTTCTGACATATGTGTGGTTATTTTTAGATGATTGCAATTTAAACAGAACAATTTAAACAGAACAGAAAGGGAATATATTGAGGGAAGCTGTCCCTCTATGTTGAGAGAGCACAGCCACCAGTTTAACTAGGAGAAGCAGTGCTGGCAGGCTCCTTGTTAAATACCATCGGAAGATTTCTGCAGACATCGTCCAGATATATATAGAGAGAGAACTCCTTCTTCTTGCAGACGGTACCCCTGGGATTAGATAGCTCCATGCACGGGCATAATTATTTAGCATAGCAAAACGGGAGAGAGGGGGTGCAACCCAAGCTGTAACCCAAGCCCAGTCCATGGCCTACTGCTGCTGGGTTTATCACAGTAAGGTTCCTCTGACATAGTCGTAAGACTCAAACTGGTATTTAAGGGAGCACAGGTGAACATCTTACCCCAACCAAAGCACATAGACTTCCAGTGGGTTTTTGATGAATAGTTGCAACAAGGCTGTGACTAACGAGGCTACATGGTGGTTAATCTGTCATTAAGGGTGTAAATCAAACAAAAGTGTAATTCAGTCAGTTGTATTTCCATTGAAAATAGTTAAGTTAACAGAACCTCTGAGTGCAGTATAAGCAGCTTGCAATTCACATTTTTTTTACCACACCACCGCTTAATAATTAGAGTCAAATTCCTGTGGTATGAAGGGCAAATATTTCAGCTACAGGTGCTCCATTGAAGATGGGTCACATTCTTCTTGTGCCAAGATTTTTGCTACAGTATAACTAGCTCATGAAAATGAAAGGATGTGTCATCACTCAGACTTTAAAGAGATGTAATAAAACTCCTACATGCCAGGAATAGAGAACACACTGTTAAGTATTATATTGTTCCTCAGGGAATCCAAATGATTTCTTCCATAGATGCATTAGACACAGTTTGCAAATACTTATTGAGGGAAACGAGTATGATGTAAAAATACCAACAGGCTTTCAGCATTGCAAACACCAATGTGGGTAGAAGTCATAATGGATGAATATGTGTGGCCTCTGCAAGGCTCCTCCCAGACTGTTTGTTTGTGTTCCCCCTCTTAGGATGGGGACTCACAGAGAAGAAGAATGTCCGCCATATCTGATGCTGCTCAGTCGCACTGCAAGAGGGGAGGAGAGAAAGCATTCGGGGGGAACTGTCACGATTCATTTCAGACTAATGTGGGATGCCATGCTAGAACCCATGAGTAAAATGAAATACTCCGAAAAACCAGACATGTCATAGCATGAACAGAACTGGAACCGAAAAGTCCATCTGTCTGGCATCCTGCAATACAAATCTGCCTTCAATTTGAGAAAACAACACTTTTTGCACATCCGTAGTGTTTGGTTGTACACAGTAAAGGGCAAGAGGGAAATGGGATAATGATTGTTTACAGGCAGCTTGAGCTTCTCCCTCTTCCAGATAAGAGACTCCTTCCACAGCATCCACAGAGCTGTGTTTTCTTCAGAGTCAGAGGCTGTTAAAGATATTTTGAGTCCATTGCTTTGTGCTTGTTAATATCCTCTTACAGCAAACACAAATGTTGCTTTCTCTTTTGTATCTCAGTCAACAGCAGCCCAGCATCTTGTTGATGGCCCTCGTTAAATATTTGCCTTCAATCTTTGCCCCTCATGACACAGGGCTAGAAGTTTCCGTGTTTGCGCACAGAGGGAGAATCTTTCATATATGTGTCCATATATGGGCTCTGTGGTGTAAGCGAGGTAGAGGAGACAGAGGAGAGGGCTAAGTTGCGGGGGCTTTTTGTGAGGTCCAAAGACGCACTCGATATTTCTTTCCATTCCACAGGGCTATAAAACTTCTTGGTATGCACTTCGAGCTCAGCCACTGTTCTCCCTGTTACAGTCCTGCCTGTCCGAGCCCAGGCACAACGAAATTAAACAATGGCAGAGGAGGAGGATGCTGAACTTTTATGGTAGCAATTTTCAGCATTT